CCTAGTGTGCATGGAGTATATATTAGTCCAGTGTCCTCATTAGGTTTTCACCACTTTCCTATAAGGGTGAAATATACATTACCGCTCCTGCGGTTGTCCACAATGCTTCCCAGAAAAGGAATTGCTGCTGCTCCTTGTAGCTTAATATCAATCTCGTGTCTCCTCTTACTTCTACCAAAACTCCAAGATGCTGTCAAAACACAGGGTTCCCATGTGGAAAGAGTTGCATCACGTGACGTTACATGTGACATCAACACGTTTTGCTAAGAGGTAGCGTAGCTTCGTGTGGATGTGGGGAGGTATTCAGGTGGTCCCTTTTATCCACCGGCTGAGAGCCGCCCATAAATATTTAAAGCCTATTCAAGCTGTTGTAATGACACTACACAACTTGGCTATTCTGACAAGCTCTGAACTTTGATCTTAGTTCAATTGTCCATCTACTTCCTAGTTTAAATCATCATATAGCCTATATATGGCTTATTTATATAACGGGGGTCTATTATTAACTCATAAATCCTGGAGTGAAAAGAGATCAATGTTAACATAGTTCCCATCTTTACACATTTTTCCATAAATTATTTCTCTAAGAAAACCTGTAAGTTCATTTGAACATTCAGTCCCAGTGGGGTTAATGTCTGCAACTTATAGATCCAATTTTTCTCTTTTTGTAGCAGAATGGGGTCAAAATCCCCTCTCCATTTGGGGAATCCTGAGCACATAGATGCTCTTTACCTTCATTCCTGTCAGCATACCACTATGGCAGGAGGAAAAAATGTCTTGTTAGGGGTTTCTCAGGGTTCTGTTCCCTTATTTTTTTTATATTTTCCCCATATGAACCTTTAAGGGATGTTTAGTCTTCCCTATGTAGAATTTATCACATGGGCAGGTGATCATATATATTACTCTTGTGGAATTACAATTGATTAGTTCATGGATGTGAAACTTCTTCTGACCCATACTGTCATAAAAAATATTAGTGCGGTCTACAAAAGGGCATATTTGACATTTTCCACATGCAAACATGCCTTTTGATCGGGGTAATTGCTCAACCAATTATGCATGGGATTTGTTCACAAATTCCGATTGCATAAGTATATCCCCTAAATTGCATGCCCTTCGGGGCTGTCATTTTTGGTGTTGAGCCTACTATTTGAGGTAGATTTGGATTATTGGTTTAGAATTCCCCAGTGTTTTTGAAGAACCTTCCATACCTTATCCCATTGAGCCCCATACTGAGTTATTAAGTGCACTTTGATCACACTTGAATCTTCTTTTTACTTAATCTGCAGAAGGCTTTTTCTATCGCATTCAGCTGCTATTTTCCTAGCACGTCTAATCTGTTTATGAGAGTAGCCCCATGGCTCCTGTGTGCATGCACGCGAGTGATGTCATTACTGCTCAGCCATTCATATGTCTGAAGCTTGTGAACCTGGAAGGAAGCCCGGGTGAAGATGGAAGCACCTACAGTGCTCCACTGGAGGGCTTCATTTTCAGGTAAGTCTGTCGTAATGTTCTAGAATGTGGTGCACTTTTTTTTTTTTGGTGCGGTTTACTACTGCTTTAAGGTGCAATGAGCAGGTCAAAAGGAAAGGCAACAAACTGGAAGTATAAATTGCATTAGTCTGTATTGATAAATGTAAATCACATACAACTCTCTCAGTGTAGCAATTTAAAGTGGTTGTAAAGGCTCAAGGGTTTTTACCTTCATGCATTCTATGCGTGAAGGTAAAAAACCTTCTGTGTACAGCAGCTCCCCCAGCCCCCCAATACTTACTTGAGCTTCATCAAGATCCAGCGATGTGCATGACAGCCTCGGCTGTCCCGGATCTCTGCCTCCTCATTGGCTGAGACAGCAAGTGGGAGCCATTGGCTTCCTGTCAATCACAGCCAGTCAGCCAATGAGTAGAGAAAGGGGGTAGAAGGACAAATGAAGCAGCAGGTACCCCCATAGCAAGCTGCTTGCTGTGGGGGCACCCAACAGACAGGAGGAGCCAAGAGAGCCGAGAAGAGGAGGATCCAGGCTGCTCTGTGCAAAACCCTTGTGCACACAGCAGGTAAATATAACATGTTTGTTATTTAATAAAAAAAAAAAAATAAACCTTTAGTATCGCTTTAAATCAATGTGCAAATCCAGTGCAACAATAGTAATAAGCAGTTGATAAGCTGATAATATGTCCATTTCAAATCAGTGCCACACCACACCAGAGGGAAGAGTGTTAACTCCTCAACCACACATGCCCCCCAAAGATGGAGACTCACTGATCCAAAATGACCTGTTAAGTTTAAAAGGTAATTTTGGATCAGGCGAGTCTCTGTCTATGGAAGGAATGTGTCTATTGATGTCAAGTACCTAGGAAATATCCATCAAACTGACCCCGATGTGTTATTTATTTGTGGGATGGATGATTTACCATACTGATATTATGTGAAGTGAAATAATGCCAACAACTGGTATTCCAGAAGCTTGAGGAGTTAATGTCTGTGACCGAGTCACAGACAGTCAACAGCAAAGAGAGCAGCCTTGTAGGGAGCTGATGGTAGTCCTCACATGGGGAGGTAGGAGGTGTTCATGCGCATGGCAAGTTGTGTGCCTTGGGCACAAGCACAGGCTAATATAGCCATAGAGCCTGCATGGTGCAGACAACACACATAGGGGTTGATTTACTAAAAATAGAGAGAGTGCAAAATCTGGTGTGGCTGTTAATGGTCAATTGGCCAGTCAGCTTCTAACTTCAGCTTGTTCAATAAAGCTTTGACAAAAATCCTAGAAGCTGATTGGTTTCTATGCAAAGCTGCATCAGATTTTGCACTCTCCAGTTTTAGTAAATCAACCCCATTTGTCGCAGTCCTTACCAGCAAGGCATGTGACACATATTTAAACAGTGTTACAGCCCTTATGTACAGAGCGGCTGTGACACATAAATGTGTAGCAGATCATGGTGCTCCAAACTAACCCAACAACACTTTAACCACTTGCCCTCCTGCGGATTTAGCCGCATTCCTGACCAGGCCATTTTTTGCATTACTTTAACTGACAATTGCGAGGTCATGCAACGCTGCACCCAGATGAAAGGTATGCCCTTTTTACCACAAATTGAGCTATCTTTTGGGGGTATTTGATCTCCTGTGTGGTCTTTGCTAAAAAAAAAAAACCCAAACGTGTAAATTAAATGGTTTTCGTGAAAGTTTTAGCATTTACAAATGGCGGTATAGATACTGCAATTTTTTTTTTTCACTGGGAATGGCAGCTATCTGTGACTTATAGCGGGACTGTGGCGAGCATTCTGACACTGGGGGGAACTGACTTGGTGTCACTGACATACCCAGTGACACCAATACAGTGATCAGTGCTAAAAAAAAAGCATTGACACTGTACTAAGGGCAATGGGCAGGAAGCAGTTAACATGAGGGCGATCAAAGGGTTAACTGTGTGCTGTGTACTGTTTTACTTGTGTGCTGTGTCTGTGCTTCACTGTAATCACACTGCTTTGCATGGTTGTTCTGTGCAGAGCCATCCAAAGCAATGTGCACGAGCTGACCGGGAGGAGAACTGTATTTACATACAGTTCTCCTCCCCTTCGGAGAGATGCTCAGTAATCACTGTGCGACGACGAGTAATCACCGGCTGGGACCCAGTGATTGACAGTCGCAGCCGCGAATGACGGCGCGGGTAGGGTGCTTGTGTACCTTACACACGCGCCCTACCCAGGAATGCAAAATCAGGTATATATACGTGATTTTGTGTACCCTGTGCCGCCCTGTAGCAGTATATCTGCTATAGGGCAGTTGGGAAGCGGTCAAAGGCTCCACAAATAAGGGCAAAACCATAATTACTTCCCGCATTGGTGGTCTGGAAGGTGCTCTGTGGCAGACATACAGTATAAGTAACAGCAAGTACCTAAACAGGACTTAGCGAAATATGTACATACACATACCAGACAGCTTTCGCCCCTATGGTGGGTATACAACCTAAGGAATCTTCAGGGACAGGATTCCACCAGCAGGTGTATCATGGCCCTGGACCTGTACTCTGCGGCTAACTAACAGTATACCAGGTGTCTGGAGAGCACCCAAAGCAGAGCGCAGTGCCTGCAGGTCACACTTCAGGCCAGCCCAGGATCTTCATTAAAAGGGTCTGACTATGGCCTCCAAGGCAATGGCGGGTGCCAGCAGTAAGCATAAACTGTAAGCTTGATTGAAGAAAAAGATTTAGATAAAAACAGAAAAATGTCCAATGAAAAGGGTTTGTTTCTCTCTAAGGAGAGAAAATGTCCATTCTCCTGGGTCATTAGCAAAAAACTGAAGCATGATGGGAGTGGGAGGAGTTATCCTGGCTGACTAGCAGTTCTTGTTTCCGGTGTCCAAGCTCCTGTAGGCAGCAGTTTAATCCATGTTCCCCAGAATTACCCGTGTCCCTTAAATTGGAACTGCACTGCAGCTAAGCACCACAAACCAAAAATGCTATTTAATAATTTTTTTGATTCAAAGAAAACTCACCCATTCATTTATCCATGTCTCCATGCTTTATTTTGCTGTGAAATCACTTTGAAGAACACCCCCTAGCATTTCTGGTCGTGGCCATCTTGAGTAAGGGCGGTGATTCATGTAGCACTCTTCCTGGAATCCATCTGCCCTTAGCTCAGGCATGAGGGTGTGCTGAAGACTCTTGAGATGTATGATGACATCATTTGCCTAGTCCTGGAAAACAGGAAGTAACTGGAAAGAAAAAAAGTTTAAAACAAGTAAATTTGATATACTTTCCTATATATTTACTAATGCTAGCAGAATAAGGATTACATATCAATGTTGACTGAAGTGAAGTTCGGCTTTAAAGAACGATTGGGAAATTATGTTTATAGTAGCACAATTTTGCTATTAAATCACTACCGTTTAATCACTAGGAGTAGTAATTGCTTACTAAACAGTTTGAGCAAATTGCTCTCTGTAAAGTAAGCTACACAAGTGGAATTCAAAAGCATCTTGTAGCGAATAAATAATCGCATATGGCTGCAGCACAGTACATTCATGTGTGTTTGATTGTTATTTGCTACTACAGTACATCCTTCCAGTTCTGCCTGTGCACATTAAGAGTCTAGTAATGAACTCAATATAAGAGAGATCCATTCAGGGGCGGACTGACCATTCAGAAACTCGGGCACTGCCCGAGGGCCCGGGGTCAGTAGGGGGCCCCATGAGATGCCCCTGGTACCTTTTTCATAGGCTTTTTTAAGTTTGGGCAAGGACACAGGGGCCCCATGATCCCCTATTGCCCGGGGGCCCCATGAGTTGTCAGTCAGCCCCTGGATCCATTTAACCACTTGCCCTCCAGAGGATTTACCCCCCTTCCTGACCAGGCCATTTTTTGCGATATGGCGCAAACTTTAACTTGCAATTGCACAGTTATGCAACACTGCACCAAAATGAAATTTATGTCCTTTTTTCCCACGAATAGAGCTTTCTTTTGGTGGTATTTGATCGCCTCGCCTTTGCGCTATAAAAAAAAAAGCGACAATTTAGAGAAAAAACAATATTTTTGACTTTTTGCTATTAAACATGTCTAGTAAAAAAAATTAAAAATCAAATTTCGTCATCAATTTAGGACAAAATGTATTCTGCTACATGTCTTTGCTAAAAAAAAATCCCAATACACGTAAATTAATTGGTTTACATGAAAATTATAGTGTTTACAAATGGCGGTATATATACTGGGATTTTTTTTTCTTTTTTTACTAGTAATGGTGGCGATTAGCGACTCATGTGGTGGAAATTCTGATACTGGGGGGGGGAACTGACTTGGTGTCACTGGCATCCCGAGTGACACCAATACAGTGATCAATGCTAATAGAAAGCACTGTACTAATTGCACTGGGCAGGAAGGGGTTAACATATGGGGCTATCAAAGGGTTAACTGTGTGCTGTTTTACTGTGTGCTGTGTTAGTGTTTTCAACTTTAAGCACACTGCTTTGTATGGCTGTGCTATTCAGAGCCACACAAAGCAGTGTGCAGGAGCTGACAGAGTAGAGAACTGTACTGTTTACATACAGTTCTCTCTCTTCATAGGTAACGCTCGGTGATCACCGGGTGCCGGCACGCAAGAGGGAATAGCAGCGCGGGTAGGGCACGTGTGCCTCCTACCTGGAAATGCAAAATCACATACTATATATATATATATATATATATATATATATATGTGTGTGTTTGTGTGATTTTGCACACCCCTGCCACCCTGTAGCAATATATCTGCTATAGGGCGGCGGGAAAGCAGTTAATTATCATTATTATTATTATTTTACAGGATGTATATAGCACCAACAGTTTACAAGGCACTTTACCACATAAGGGCAGACAGTACAATTACAATACAAATTGATACAGGAGGATTCAGAGGGTCCTGCTCGTTAGAGCTTGTAATCTAAGAGATGTAAACCTTCAAGATCTATCTTCCAATAGAAGAAAATGTTAATGATTTCCTCTGCCTATGACCCTGATAGAGTATTTTTCTGTTAATTACCGCAGTTATTTTAAATACATTTTTAACCTTTTTCGTTTATTTAATAATTTATGACACAATCTGCTGGGCAAGCTTATGGAACATTTATATGGCTGTCTGCACAGTCCAGACACACAGCTAAGATGCCAGCCAGATCTTACTGACATCCTGTCAATGAAACAAAGGTCCAAGTTTTAAAGCCAGCCAAAGAAAATGCTTTGAATAGGAAAGATTACCTAATTATAAGGTAAGAGAAAAATATTCTATTTACTAGAAACTAACCTATTTAGCAGTGATCCAAAAAAAATGACAAAATCAGAACTTTGACCACACCTCAGGGTGAGACAACAGTATTTGCTTTGTTTGTGAATGCATTCACAGTTAGTTCCTATGTAAACCCTGTGCACGTGTTTAGTTTATGTGTTACACAGGTTGTTGCAGTCTGAAGGTGGAGGTTACTATGAGATCTGTGTACAGCTACCCTCGAAGGAGCTGCTGTAATTTAACCGGTCCAGAAAAACGAGTGCAGTGGCAGCCAGGTACACAGCAAGTTCATTCGCTCTTGGCTCAGTCATCAGTCTATGGCAGCATTTTTTAATTGGGGTCCCACCTGAGGTCGCCAGGGGTGCCGCAGCATCCTGGTAGAGAAAGGCTGTCACATGAGACAAGTTTACGATCCTCAGCCGAACTGTAAATCAGTAGTGGGAGAGCTTGGTCAGACTGTGTTTACACCTACGAAAGTGAAGCAAGGGAGAGGAGTCTTGCCAAGTGTGTGCTCTCCTCTCTGCCTCCCTCTACACTGTAGGACCCCCAGTTAGAGTAAGGCCTTATGCACACAGGACATTTTAAATTTGCTCTTCCTCTTTGCAGCAGCATTTTGGCAGAAAAAATGCCTAATGCTTGTAAAAACACTTTTTTTTATATGTGTGTATGTACAGTATGTGTGTGTGTGTTTATATATGTGTATATATGTACATGTGTGTTTATATGTCCTATAGCAGAAATACTTCTACAGGGAGGCAGCGGTGCGCAAAATCACGTATATATATGTGATTTTGCATTTCCGGGTAGGGAGCGCACCGCCATTCGCTGCTGTCAATCACCGGGCCACGGCTGGTAATAACACACCGGCACCCAGTGATTTCCGAGAATCTCCGATGGGGAGGAGGACTGTTTTGTTTACTAACAGTCCTCCTCCCTGTCAGCTCGGGCACACTGCTGTGGATTGCTATGCACAGTGCAGCCATCCACAGCAGTGTGATTACAGTGAATCACAAACACTCCCAGCACACAGTTAACCCTTTGATCGCCCCTCATGTTAACCCCTTCCTGCCCAGTGCCATTAGTACAGTGTCAGTGCTTTTTTTTAGCATTGATCACTATATTGGCGTCACTGACACCAAGTCAGTTCCCCCGCAGTGACAGAATGTCCGCCGCAGTCTCTCAGTCCCGCTATAAGTCACTGATCACCCCCATTGCTAGTAAAAATTAAAAAAAAAATTCCAGTATATATACCGCCATTTGTAAACGCTATAACTTTCACGCAAACCAAATAATTTACACGTAGTTGGATTTTTTTTTTTAGCAAAGACATGTAGAAAAATAAATTTTGGCCTAAATGTATGACGAAATTTGATTTTTTAAATTTTTTTACTGGACATGTTTAATAGGAAAAGGTCAAATATATTGTTTTTTTCTCAAAATTGTCAGTCTTTATTTTTTTCATAGCACAAAAAATAAAAACTGCACAGGTGATCAAATACCACCGAAAAAAATCTCAATTCGTGGGAAAAAAAAGGACGTAAATTTTATTTGGGTGCAGCGTTGCATGACCGCACAATTGTCAGGTAACCTCCCTGGCGGTATGATTATTTCAGATTTTTGGTGCTAAAAGCGGTTCCATTACTTTGCATGGAAATTTGGCGTTTTATATTGTAGGCCTGTAATTCTTAGGAATAGCTCACTGAAATCTGTCCGTACAAGAGTCTATTAAACATCCCGGGTATGATAAAACTTGAAACACGAAATCATAAATTATAATTTAATAAATAATCCTAAAAATAATAATATAATAATACATTTAATTTAATAATATAATCAAACCAAAAACACTGAAATTTGAAATATAGCACCAAATTCGCACATCGCTGAGCAAAGTCGCAGAATTGTTTTCAGTGTCTGATGACGAATTTCCCCACGAATCATTATCACTCAATTCTGCAAGTGGTTCTAATTTACTATCGCTGTTCTCTAGCTGGTCTAAAACTGATTTTGACCTAAAGGGACACTTTTTGGACACCATGGACATTTCTCAGTTTCCAGGCAGAAAGAACAGTAAAAATGCAGGCAGGGCACAGGACAAAGCACTCGGGACAAAATGTATGTGAAATGGTTTGGTACAGTAATGTTTTACTATGTGATTTTAGTGATTTTTGTGAATGTCACTTTTTGGCATTTTCAAATTTCCCACCATTCCGTCGCTGTATGTCCCGACGCTCGCAGAGGACAGAACCCAGATGACAGATGCCGGCATCCGCCGGATTACATTGCCGTGGACACTGCAGGAGGGACATCGAGGGAGCACAGGACAAGGTAAGTGACCGAGGGATCGCGGAGCAGCACCACATGGTATTCCCGAGTGTAGCTCGGGGTTACTGCTTGTGGTACTGAAATTTTACCCTGAGGGAGGCTACAGTAATGTAGCGCCGTAACGCAAAAAATGGCCTGGTCAGGAAGGGGGGGGGTAAATCCTCTGGGGGGCAAGTGGTTAATCCTGACTCTCTGTTCCTGTACAATCAGAACTGATTTTTTAGGGCTCGTATATAACACCAGCAAGGACTGCCGCTCCTCTGAAAAGCAATTCAGGCTCAGACCCCTTTCAGAGACATTTGACAGATGGTGAGAAGGCAATATAATTCACCTCCATGTGCAATGTGCACAGTTGCAGGGCGGTTGCAGCGCAGCTGCGTTCACCTGGGGGTGTACAACCCCAACTGCTGTCTCTACAGCTAAAGGGGGAGTAGGTTGGGGGTGGTAAATTGAAGCATGTGGTTATACCGCCCCCAACTTCACATTTGAACAAACCCTAGGTTCACATCTGTGCAGCTGCATACTACATATAGGGCAGCGCATTCTTCCATGGGCTGCCCCGCAGAACTACAGGTAAATAATTCCCCTACCCTTATTTTTAAAATCGCACTGAAAAGGCACCATGTTTGGAAATGCATGAGGTACCATTAAGAATTAATGACACCCCTGCGTCTCTGCCAGGGGCGGACTGACAACTCATGGGACCCCCGGGCAATAGGGGATCGTGGGGCCCCCATGTCCTCGCCAACACCCAAAAAAGCCTATGAAAAAGCCAATGAAAGGTACCAGGGGCATCTCATGGGGCCCCCTACTGACCCCGTGCCCTCGGGCAGTGCCCGAGTGCTCGAATGGTCATTCCGCCCCTGGTGTCTGCTAAACAGTAGTGCATATGTCTGCTTTTTAAGAATGCATGAGATTTTGTGTGCATTCTGTCACACGCAGTAATGTGAACCAAGCCTTAACCTCTTCCCGTCCGCCATTCTACATAGACAGCCAATGCAAGCTAACGTTCCTGTATGTCAGCCCACATCGATGGCTTGTGTGCGGCTCACAGAGTGCGCACCTGGGAGCCCAATGATTGGTGTGTCGCCCAGACACAGTGGATGACACAGTGGATGATTGCCGCTGTGTTTACAATGTGCACGTGGTGTTTTACAATGTGACTGCTGTGACCATTGACAGCACTCACGTAGTAAACACTAGAAACTGAAGATCGGTTCTCTCTGCTCTCGGTGTGAGAACTGAGAGAAGCGATCCTGCAGTGTGCGAGTATACAAGCAGCCTAACAGTGCCACAATCACAATAATAAATAATGCAGGGAAGCCCTGTCACCTGTCCCAGTGCGCACAAAACACCCCCATACACCATACCAATGTCCTTATCACTGCCATACCAGTGTCCTGATCATCGCCATACCTCAAACCAACACCCTGATCACTGCCATATGCCATACCAACGTCCGGCATTTTAGGATCTTAACTGATCAATTTTCAAATATATATCCCATAGTTTGTAGACTCTATAGCTCCTAGATTGTAAGCTCCGAGGAGCAGGGCCCTCCTATCCCTCTTGTATTGAACTATACTGTTGCTGTATTGTCTCCCGTTATATTGTAAAGCGCTGAGCAAACTGTTGGCGCTATATAAATCCTGTATAATAATAATACCAGCTCCTTGATCACCTCCATACACCATACCAGCGCCCTGATCACCGACATATACCATACCAGTGCCCTGATCACTGCCTTACCAGCATCCTGATCACCGCCATACCCCATACCAGCATCCTGATCACCGCCATACCCCATACTAGCATCCTGATCACCGCCATACCCCATACCAGCATCCTGATCACCGCCACACCCCATACCAGCATCCTGATCACCGCCACACCCCATACCAGCATCCTGATCACCGCCATACCCCATACCAGCATCCTGATCACCACCATGCCCCATACCAGCATCCTGATCACCCCATATGCCATACCAGAGCCCGATCACCGCCATACCCCATACCATCACCCTGATCACCACCATACCCCATGCCAGCATTTTGATCACTGCCATACCCAATACCAGCGCTTGGTCACCGCCATACCCTCCTATGCCAGCATCCTTATCACAGCCATACCCCATACCAGCATCCTGATCACCCCCATGCCCCATAACAGCATCCTGGCTATTGCCATACCAGCGTCCTGATCACCGGCATACCTCATGCTAATGTCCTGATCACCGCCATACCCCATACCAGCATCCTGATCACTGCCACCAATGTCCGGCATTTTAGGATCTCAACTAATCAATTTTCAAATATATATCCCATAGTTTGTAGACTCTAACTTTCACACAAATTAAATAATATAAACTGTTTTGGGTTATTTTTACCCCAAAATGTAGCAGAATACATTTTGGCCTTAATTCCTGTCTTCTCTGATCTTCCCCTTCTTCTAGTGTCCCCCATGAATCTGCTGATAGAACACAGACTTGGGGGCAAGTTGCACATGCTCAGTTTGGTGTGTAGTGCTAGAGAGTTTTTCTTTTCTTGGGAGGGTGCATGTGATCAGCACAGGGCCAATCAGTGCTGTCCAGACAGAGGATCAGGGGTTATGCAGCCTCATAGGACAATCAGAGGAGAATGGAAACTCTTCCTACAAGCTTTAACCAGTGCTCTGCTGGACACTGATAGAAGTCACAAGACTGCTCTAACTGCTAATGAGAAAAAGTATTTAGCAGTTTATATTTACTAAAATAATTTCATTTCCATGTTCTGTGCACGGTAAGAGACCAGATATAGTGAATGCAGGGTCCTGGGTTTAGCAACACTTTAACTGAACAAGCTGAAGTAAAAAGATGATTGGCTATCATGCACAGCTGCACCCAATTTTGCACTCTCCAGTTTTAGTAAATCAACCCCTTTATTTGTATTTATATTTTTATGTATTATGGTCAGTGCTGTGCATACACTACATGTTCATGTTGTTAAAAAAAATCACATTGGTATGGTTATCCTAAAATTAATTACTGGATTAACATGTGACCAGCCACTTTTTGTCAACCACCATTTAGCATTTATGCTGACTGCACTTCTGACAGTGACAGTCACTAAAGGACAAATTAAATACAATAATGAAATACTACCAAATGTTTACTAATTGTTTGAATGACATAAAAGCCCATTAGGGTTAGGTGTTTTGAAGTTGACTATATATTAAATGTCAGGATTTATATTCCCTCAGACCTATAATGTAGGTGTATACCATCAATTCTGGGACTTCTAGTCCCTCTGTCTTATGATATACATAGTGTATAAACCATGCTGAGACTTTCAATTCTCCCGAGTTAAATAGTCATGCTAGGTCTTTTACTAGGTCTCTCCAGTCTTAAAATATCAGTGTATACATAATATGCTTGGACTTGCAGGCCTCCTAATCTCATGCAATGCATGCTGGGAGCTGTAGTCTCCCAATTCCTTCAAAATGATTATGTACATTATGGTGACTGTCAGTCTGCAAGGATAAGCAAGGGTGGCTAGTTTACAAATGGTGATTGCAGCCTGTAGGTCTGCAGTTATTATTATTATTATACAGGAGTTATATTGCACCAACAGTTTGCAGAGCACTTACAATATAAAGGGAGACCGTACAATTACAATACATTTCAGTACAGAAGGAGTAGGAGGGCCCTGCTCATGGAGCTTACAATCTAAAGGTTGCTTGTTAATGCATACGGTGGTTACCTGGACAGTGGCATTAAGTCAGGAGTGAGGTGGGTGGCTATCTGTTCACGGAATGGAAACTGTCAGTTATTCCAAAGGCTAGACTAGGCATGGAAAGCTTCATGAGGTATAGAGTTAGGAGGTTTGAGGATGGGAAGAATGCTCAGGTCACAAAAGCAAGGGAAGGAAATGAGCAAGTAGAGAAAATCTCAGCAAATCATTTAGGCTGAAAATAGACATTTGTGCTGTGGTTTGGTGCAGTAATGTACTTTAAATAAATGAGCACATTGCAGTGCCATTCATTTTGAATGGCATCTCAGCACAATAAAGCAATAGAGCTCAACTACACATGCATTGCAGAGCATTTGTGGTGCACCGTGTTGCCAAAAATGGTCCAAGTCCTTTTGTTGCTTGACATTTTGGTGTATTGCCTTAACACAATGTACAGAATGCATGCATGCAAAAACAGATAAATTGTGCATGCAATAAAGTAATGCATCAGGATGCCAAGGTGTGATTGGGCCCTTAGGCAAGGGGAATGCAAGGCAAACATTGTCAACACATTGGAAAAGGGGTTAAACTCTATCTAAGTAGTCTTTCATCTGATGGGATATGGGCAGGGCTTATGGAAAAACATTGCCTGAAGGAACCTTCTGCCTTCTCCCACTTCTGTTTTGTGTTAACTGTGGGATGGAAAGCAAGCATATAAAATATAAAAGTCACATAAAAAATGTAAATTGACTTTAGAATAATAACTCAATAAGAATGTTCAGTGGAACTCTGCTTATCTATACCTCCTTCAAACTATAAAAATGTGAAATGCTATAGTCATATGTAGTTGGAAACTTTCTGAAGTTTAATTTGAGTTTAATAAATACAATCACAATAATTAATTCACACAGTTGCTGCATCCACTGAAAACTCTATAAATAATACAAAACAAAATCCTCACAGGCGTTTGTGCAAATTCTGATAACCCTTGTGTATGGTAATACATTCATGATATATATCAGCAGTAGGCATGTATGTATGTACATACACATACCCAGTTGTTCCCAAATCTACAATGTAATCCTTGTCTGTTAGCAATCACTTTTCATTCAGTGCTGCAAACCGTCCCATGTCACAGGATCCAGCAGAGTACATTATAGTTGTATGCTGTGATTAATGTTCTCCCAGAAAGGTACTCGTTTCTCCTGGGGGTGGCTAAAACTGGAAATTCTTCTGCCAAACAGATGAGCTGATCATTTGTTAAAGTCTGCACCACACTGTCATATCTTACACTTTGTACATCCCTTGTCCTCATAGTGATGCAAGACAATATTTTGTGTTATGTAATCAGCCCCACAGTTACCCTTATAAAGAACAATAAAGGGATCACCAAGGATCAGTATGACAGCAATCTTGCAGTTGCCTTGTTAGGGAGGCCATAACACTGTAGTCCTGCAAATTTGTTATATGGCAATTACTGCATCACTGAGTCCTGCAGTTGTCTTCAGACGATTCCTAGTGAAATATACCATAGCATAGTTCTATAGCAATTCTAGAATTCTTGCCAGCAAAGGCAAATACTAGGTCAAATCTGTCTTGAGGTGATTTTTGGAGAGGGGTAGGATATCACAGAGTCATAACGTTCAAATAAAGTATCCAAATAGGGGATATGTCGTCAGAGAGTCCTGCAGTGACTTGAAACTGTGTCCCTGGGAATATCAAAATATTTCAAATTCCCTTTCTCTCATCTCTAATAGCTCCATGTACCCACAGGCTCCTCAGAGTTGTACTTCTCATCTTCTTCCTGGCTGTGATCTGCAAGTGAAGCAGGAGAAGATTGGTGTAGTATTATTCACTTTAAGGTCATTGGAAAGGACAAGGTGCACTCTTTACGTCTGCAGGAAAAGAGATTTAACCTCCACATATGGAAAGGCTTATTCACAGAAAGAGGTGTGAAAATGTGGATGGACTAGTTTTGGCCAGCTCAGTAGATTGTTCTATTAAAAGAGCTGGATGCATGAGAAAGATAACATTTTAACATAAGGTGGTGTGCTGCATACTGCATACATTTGGAAGATACCTACCATGGCACTCATTACAGCAAATTCCATCTGATTTTCCTCTAGCCTTGCATTCGGGGTCACTGCATTTCCATTTCTGTTTGTTACATTGAGGAACACCATCCTGTCAAGATATAAGTGGTTGTATTATGTCATTGTGGACACAATAACTGTAAGGCAGTTTGCTATATTCTGACATTTTAGCGGAATGATACTTTATCATTTTTGCTCATTGTTTTGCCTGAACTCACACATTTTCTACTATTTCTACTTACCACACAAACACAGGTCAAACACTTCACCACTCCATGCATTGGAAGTTTCGGGTGCCACCGCTCATTGTTAGAATACAAATGACCCATCACTTTGCAATGCCGTGGTTCATCAGACTGCATTCTGTCTGCCAGCCCCAAGGGGTTTTGCTCTTCTTCTGTAAGGGAGAAAGGTATATTAGTCTTATAGGTAAAGAAGGTGAGAATATATTATATTTCAACTGCATCTCCTAGAATGTTTCTGATAGCTTGGAAGTGTTAAAGCCTCTATAAGGTATTAACTACTGACTGTGTTCCCACAGGGGAGATTTACCTTCACCTCCTATGAGGTAACGGTAGCAGAAAATGTGGAGAACCTCTCAGAAGTTTATTGCTGCCTGTGTCCATGTTTGGGGGGGTTCTGCTCCATTCCTGAGTGATCACTAGGACAGAAAATGAGGGTCAATCTCTCTAGCGGAGACGCAGACAACAATAAAAATCCTTCTCCACTGCATCCAAACCTTTGGCTGACATTGGACTTCGCAACCATATGAGTATACCATTACTAGTCCCAGTGCTAGAAGTCAAGGACTACCTCAATATATTTTACATGTTCATGTAATGCGAAAACTCTAACCTATTGTCCTTTTATAAATCTTACTTAAAAATGGCTTTAAGGTTTGTCTCTGCTATGTGCCACTTTCTCTCACCTGGACACTTCTTGCAGCAGTCCATTGGGTTGGCACGGATGGGATTAGCACAAGTAAGTCGTGGGCAGTTCTTTCTCACGCAATGCAGGTCTGGGAGGTCAGGTGAGGAATTCTAATAATGAAAGGGATGGGTGAGTGGATTATATCAATTTACAAGTAAATACATGCATAAAGGACATATGCTGGCCATAGACAGGTCGAAAAGCAGACGATTTTTTGGCTGAAAAAAATCGTCCGATTTTCGTACCGTTAGTGGGTTAATTGGTCGGCCTTTTTTTGGGTTTTTGCACATTTTTTTTATCGGTCATGTTGGAAAATTTGCGGCCGATTTTGGCGATCGGCCGATTTTCCCAGCAATGATGGGCAAATTGGCAGATCGTTTTACCAACAAAAAATCTGCGCATGAGCCGTGACCTGCAAGAAGAAGAAGAAAAAAAAAGAAGAAGAAGAAAAAGAAGAGGAAGAAAAAGTAGAAAAAGAAGAAGAAGAAAACAAAGAAGAAGAAGGAGGAGGAGAAGAAGAAGCAGAAGAGAAGAAAAAGAAGAAGAAGAAGAAATTTTATTCTGCTAAAGTGAATCGATCATAGGCATGGAAAACACCTGAATCCTTCATAAGAACTGGAAGTCCAGTCCGCTATTATATTTTTATATGAAAAAGTCTTGCAGATGCAACAAATGTATCCATTTGTATCCAAATAAAAAAACATCTGTATCCAAATAAAAACATTGTAATCCAAATAATGTATTTGTATTGCTGTCACATTGTATGGTGTGCTCCCCTGTCTCTGCAAGGGACAGAAGTTTTGGGGTTAATGCCGGCCATAGACAGGTCGAAAATTGGCTGATTTTTTTTAACGGTGGTAACGTCGGCCGATCGAATGACCGATTTTTTCGTTTTGTTTGTTTTTTAAATCGTCCGATGTTCGACCCGTCTATGGCCTGCTTTAGACAGGGTAAAGAATCGAGGAAATCTTACCTTGCAGGTGCAAGTTGCACAAAGGACTAGACCAAAAGGTTCAACCACTGGATGCCAATGTGTACCAGCTGCCCTCCAAAACCCATTAAAATAACACCCTGCAAAAGAGTAGTAGAATTATTTACATACAAAATTAACTAAGTATCCTCGATGAGGATGGTAAAAACATTGAAAAATGGAAAGCTTTCCAAATTTTTCTTACCATCAGCCTGAGGTCTTACAGGCTTTTTCACATCCAGGTTTTCTTTCTTTTCTGAAAACAAAGCCAAATATTGGTATAAAGGGGGGAAAAAATGAGAAATAACTTTATATGAATTGTGATAGGTAAAATATATTTTGTTCCCAACTAGTTTGCTACAGTATTACAACAATCCAGGTATTTTTTAAAAACTCTGTATCTGGATTACAGCCCTGAGTCTGAATTATCTGTGTTTTTCCAATAACCCCAAAAATCCATCTCATTGACTCAAAAATGCCTTTTGAACAACTTACCCTCACACACTGGACAGCAGTGGTCAGGTAACTGGACAGGCTGAGTACAGTTCAGAGGCTGGCACACAATAGGATCACAGATCACAGTGCGTTTCTAAAAGAGACATTGAAAACAGAAACTCAACAGAATAAATAATGGAACACAATAAAGAACCTCACAGTGATTTAAAACACACTCAATCAACATCTCTTGCCTTTTATTCCTAGACCACTTTGTGTTATTTACTGTATGCATAGATATACAATGCATAATTATACAGCTGATCTGAAATAAGGAATACACAGCAATTAGGAATACCTAAATGGAGGATACTGCAACAATGAAAACTTAAAACAATAATAAACCCCCCCCCCCTTTTAAAGCATTTGCAGCTGCCGATTTTATCACTTGTATGAGCATACAAGTATGCAGCTTCTTTATCTTTTAATATTTGCCTATATTCCAGTTTAAGCTGGTGTCCTGTTTCAGGGTGGCTCCTTTCTCTTGCAGCTTACTATAGAGCCATCTTTTGCTCTATACAGTGTGTGCATGAATGGAAAAACACAACTCCATAGCGGAGGAGGGCAAGGCACTCCCCTGTTTCCACTCACTTCCATTCTCCAAGCTAACAGACTGGCTCCAGACTGCACTGTCTACTCTTTCTTGTGAAGACTGGAAGCTCAGGGAAGCCACACTGAGAGAGCAGGAACCAGCAGCATTGTAACCAACTGTAAACAAGCAAGTCCTTGGGTAACAATTAGTTTACTGGAAAATGTTTAGTTTATTGTGCTTCATGTGCTGAGCAAAAACCCCTGATGGTTTATTACTACTTAACTAAATTCTCATTTGTTAGCGGATGTTTGAATGCAAACGAGTTGATTTACTAAAAGGTTTGAGAATCTTCAATAAAACTGTAGCTGTGTTTACTGTGAATACCCAATCATATGCAGATAAAAAAAAGCAGGAATTTGCCTTTCATACGACTGGATAATTAAAGTGAAAGCACACTTAATTTATTGGATGATGATTCTAATCTCCATTAGTAAATCAGCCTCAAGCTGTAATTTCTGATATTTTCCATCGTTTTCAATGAGATCATACACAGACACAAAAAACAATGGTTCTTTTTGAATACATATTTATATCTGTATGGTCCTCCCATGCTCTAGGTCCCCTATTAGTTTATACTAAAAAGCTGCTAGCACCTTACCATATACCTGATGGAAAATGACAAGTTGAAGACTAATTGGTGCTGCACTATCTCTAGGTGATAAATAAACTCCTGTGAAGTTAATACCCCACACAGTGTACAAACTTGTAAATAAAGATACATGAACCAAAAATTATTGAATAGAATGAACATGAAAACATCCAAATTGTGGATAATAGTGAATACCACCCAAACGTAAAAAGGTGTAACCTAGGTACACTCCTAGAAATAAAATAGGTGACTAAAAAGGTCTTCTTTTTGAATGCATATCACAGTGTTTTCTGCTCCTTGTCTTGTCTTTTGGGGATTTTGTATGTATAAAATCTTTGAAAACTATACATAAAGAATATATAAAACACAGTGGTTCTTAGCCTGTTATAAGTTGGGACACACCACAACAAAACACTTGTGGATGGCATCAGTCAACACATCACCTGCAGACTGTAATATGTTGGAAAACAGTGTTATAGACCTTTAAATGCCATCATCCTAATGTAGCAGTTATCTATAATACATAGTCGTATCAGCATACTATAGTAGCATAGCAGTTTCATGTAGCAGAATAATGAACAAATAAACAGAGCAAATTAAATATTTGCTTTGGACCAAGATTCTTCTGTTTGCATATTTCTTTCCTTTCTGCAAACTGAACTTCGGCTTCGACTATATGTATGTTAGATGTCATGGCCCTGTAGACAGTCACATGGAAGCAGTAATTGCTTATGTTTAATGTATGTCAGATGCTTTGGCTAACTTAAGTGTCAGAGCTATTATAGCTCAGTACACAAAAGCTAAGCTGTTACAGATGACATGACTTGCTACTAATACTTTGACATAGATAAATAACATCACATACACAAATTAAACTGCATGCTGCTTGTTGCAAGTATTTCTAGAAGTTGCTGATTGCAAAACAAATTTAAATGGATGGCATGCTTTTTTTTCTGTAACTGATTGCAAAATCATATAACCCTCTTGTACAGACGAATTTCACACGTTAGCCTTGAAATCCTTCTATTCTACAACACATTGGGGTGGATTTATTAAAGGCAAATAGACTGTTCACTTTGCACGTGCAGTTGCACTTATTTTACCCAGAGCTTAGTAAATTAGGGGAAATTCTGCTGATTTCCATCATCCAATCATGTGCGAGCAGAAATTCAGTTTTCTTTATTTTTCTTGCATCTGATTGGGTATTCTTTACAAAGTTAAGCTTTATCACATTCACTAAAATCTGGGGAATTGAGGACAACTGCACTTGTAAAGTTCACAGTCTATTTGCCTTTAGTAATTCAACCCTATAGTGTGACACTAGGGTTTAGCGTTGTTGTTAACCGATAATAACTGATACCCTGTGGGCTCTTTACCTGCACACTTCACTATGTGATTTCCTATAGGTTGGAAAATCTCCTTACCTGACAACTGCATACTGTGCACTTCTTGTCATAGTCAGGGGTCCATCTAGATCCATGAGCCCTTAGCTTTCCTTCAAAATGACAAGACCTGGAGTCCTTTCCAAGATCTTCTGAGTGACGCTGGCTGCTCTTCTCAACTGATTCACGCTCAAAGTCCTCTGGAGACAGTGGTGTACTTCCCGATTCACAGCTGTTTGGAATATGTACCTGTTAGAATTGGAATCAGGAAGAAGTATATACGGTTAGTGTTCATCGAATTTAGTTATAATATCACTGTATGAGCTCACAATCTAGATCTAACATCGAGAAATCTGTAATGAGTATTTTAAAACAAACCATGCATTATAAGTCCATCGTACTTACTCGACCCCGAATCTCTCCACGCGGATTAAGCTTTGTGCTGACTTGGATGAATGCATTGCCCTGGTTGAGGTGGCTGAACAGTTCAAGATCAAGGTCCTTTACACTACCCTGAGCCTGTTTAACATTAGAGAAAAATAGTCTGTCATTCATGCTCAATATTACGATTAAAGTTAATAGAATATATTCCAGCCCAAACTGGATAGAAAAGGAAAGGGTATATAACCTCTGTCAGATGTTTAATGCTATCCCTGTTGAGGAGATTTATGCATTAGATTTTAAATGCTGTCTTTGTTCCCACAGAGAGGATTTCTGAGGTTCTTCAGCATCTGTCACAAGGATGTGAGGAGGAATCTCCCTCATGGGGACACAGACAGTATTAAAGTCCTGATAAGGGTTTTTAACCCTTCCCCATTCTGCTAGAACATGTCTTTTATTTCTGCTTGCATCCCTTGTGGGAAATAGACTGGAAGTGGTGAGATTTTCTTTCTGTTCTAGCAAATCTTCCAAACAGGGACACAAACAGCAATAAAAAGCTTCCACGCGCCTATCTAAAATGAAAGAAAAAGAAAGGCTCATGAAGTTGAGATTTAATATACTGTAAAACAAAATTAATATAGCCAAAATACTTTTTTTAGGTAGGTAATAAGTTTTTAATGTAACACTGTAGAGCAATTGCATGACATGTTTAATGTATGCAGATGACGTGTCTCACACTGTTACGTTCGTAATATACAGTAATGCAGGTAACATATATAGCTGTGTCATTCAATTTGAAAGGCACCCCAATGCACTAAGGCAATGCACCTGCATTATAGTGTGCTACAAGGCGCAGCATTACACAAAAGTGTGTTCTGATGTATTGGGAAGAAAGGGTCATGTGTTTTTTTTTAAGTACCTTATGGTGGCACCCTAAGGGCTACCTTAATGGATAAGTTAACTTATGCACAAAACAAAAATAAATGCATATTTTTTTGCTGGTACAAAATGTGCATTTAATATTTTTTGTATTAGGAGCCTCTAAAGCATTGCACCAGCGATTAGCAGAGGGCTGAGAATGAATGACGCGGCCGTGTGGGCAGAGCCCTGCACTGCCACACTGTTTTTGAAGAGTGACAGGTAGTACAGGGAACTTCTCCCCATACCGCTGTCGTAGGGGTGGGGCAACTGGCAAAGACTGCATGATCGGCAACATATTACATGTTCCACCTTAAAAATGGGTGGAACATGTAACATGTTCCCAAAGGTAAACTTATCCTTTAAGGCAACCCAACCAACATTAATGTGTGACAATAACTACCTTAATGCATATGTGTAAGAGGGCCCTGTGTCACTAGTCTCTAAACTCACCTCTGATCCATAGAAGCCTTTCAGCAGCCTCTTGTGACCATTTGAGCTGTCACTGACTTCACCTAGTTCAGCAAAGCCATGCAGATGTGCATTCAGTGCTGCATCCTCTGCACGCCCCAGACCAGTCACCACAATCTGATAGTGCAGGTGGCAGTGTTCATCCAGAGACACCCAGGCATGACCAGCTGATCCTGTCTTCAGGGGTGGTGACACATACTGACCAGCCAGGGGGATTGGAAGATCTAAAAATATAAACAGATGTGGAGAGTGTTCAGCAAATAGTTCCAAAAAGGACAGAAAGTATGATTCTCATTAGGAGAATCAGCCAGCAAAGAGTTACACAAGACTGATTCCCAGTCATGAGCCACCTCCCTTTGTGAGGAGCAGGGAATATGAAACTTTTGTGAGCCAGGAGGGTGGGAAAAGCATGAAAACTGCAAGATTGACACAGAGGGAAGAAAGAGGGAAATACTAAGCAGAATGCTTTTTAAGAGCAGGATAAATAGACACATTTAGATGGTTTGCATCCCACAAGATTGTCCCTAATGTACAGAATTTCTGGTAGATCACACAACCTCAAAGCCACCTTCCACAGATTTTATTGTCTTACTGAATTTACATGAATAGATGGCATAGATATACAGATATGCAGTTAAAAAGATGTATGAAAGAAATATATATACACATACAGTCACCACACTTACTCTCATGTCTGGCCCACATCCCACTATATAGTAAAGGTGTGATTTGTCCTCTCAGTTCTCCTTCCTGGAAATCTTTGGTGGCTACATTAAGGAAAAGTTCACTCTGAAGTAACATGTGCAGATCCCGGGCATTTGCTCCTGTCCACAACCCACAAGCCTGATCACAAGAAGTAAACAAATGATGGATTTAGTATAATTTGTAGATGTGCTACTCTTCTATGAACTTCACATTCAATACATTGAAAAAAAGAATGTGTCCAGTGCATTTGACTATCAACTTTCAGTGGCGTTACTACTCAAAACTGATAGTTGTTACGGGTTAAAGCATAACAATAAGCTCTGCTATTATTAGTTCCCAACCTTATGGATATTTTGATACAAATTGTGCCTTTACATATAGATTCTATAATGTAAAAAATCAATCTTCTGATTGGCTTCTTTTCAAAATCTAGTTACAGATATTAAAAAGTCTTACGGCAAACGAAGCTTCCCATTACCAATAAATTCCTGAGACACAGCTAATCTGGTATCCTTTTGCAGACATGTATCCTGACTCACTAGTTCGAAATCACTCAGATATTGCCACCAGCTGTGCCTAAAACTATTGCAATTCCCTGATTTACTGTGTGTACCACTTCCTAAAGTATGCCCCCAAGTATAATGTTTACCTTCCTTCCTAACACATCCTTTCTAAAATTAATACATTAGGACATTTATAGTTTTACTGGGTTTTATCCCCTGGGACAATCGGTGTCCTTCACAATACATTTAGAAGGCATGCCACAAATATATAGAATGCTTATCTTATATAGAAAATGCTTTTAAGTCCCTTATACTGTAGTATTTTACATGGCCCAGAAGGCATATGTTTTCCTAGGTTTTCCTTGTTGTATTGCCTGCATTTATGAATATAACTGCTGCACCTATTCTTGCTGTAGGCATGCTCAATTGTTGCTGTATTGCTCAGTGCTCCTCAAAAGTACTTCACCCTCCCTGTCTGCATAAAAATGCTGAACTATCCACTTATTTCCATTAGTACTTTAAAAAATAGCTAGCCTGTATTATTTACCACCATGTTTCGTACCTTCCCATCATTGTAATCCTTAGTTAGGTCATACAAAATATTTCTTTTAATCTTTCTTCGAGGTTTGGTCTCCAGTGTCACTGCTGTCACTTCACTCATAATGGCAGCAACCTGAAGCTGTAAGAATAAGTCATAAATTGGAGTGACCACCAGCTAAGGTCAAACATTGTATAAGAACATTGTTACTCAAAAATGTTTTCCTCTACTTCACAGTCTGCATAATGTGAAACCAACATGATCACATTTATACTGTACCTGATACTCCACTGTCCCATTTTCGTTAAGTGTGAAGGTTGCAGAACCTACTGATCCACTTTTTGTTGGGTTCAAGGCATCTCCTCCAGATAAAACACTCTGCAGAGCTGTGACAATAGAAGAGATGCAAACATTTCATAACTGTAGATCAGGATGTTTGTGTGTATTACAGATATCAGTTGTTGATCTTTTTTTACATTTTATTTCTCTCACAATAATTTCACACTCACAACACATTCATATACTTTCACATTCCCTCATGAAAAAAAGATGGATACTTCATGCTATGGCACCTTATAATGAGGAGTAGGCAACATATGATTATCTTAGTCTCTTCCTACTGTTCTTCAATGCAGGAAAAGGCAAAACAAGACTATCAGCAAATGGCTACATGTTCTCACTTGGCTTCTTCGCACCAATAGTTACAAAATTCCCCCAGCTTTCTCAGCATAGGCTTTTTTTATGTATAAGATAATAAAGTTAGGAGCGATTTTGGTTGGCCATAGCTACAATGCTAATGAGGAATAGATATTTAGTTTCAGCCATAATTATAATTCTTGGTACCTGACCAAGGCACACTACTATGTGCTCCATTATTGTAAGGAAGTGACATACATGATTTGTTAAAGATTTGTGATTTATTTATATCTATAGTATACCACCTTACACTGCAACTATGATCCTCTCTCCTGTACAAAACTATAGTACTCACCAGGTCAGAACATGGCTCCGTATATGTTCAAAGTGATCCTTCCATTCCCAATAATAAATGAATTGATTGTATCTATATATATTTACAGTATAGTGCAAGATATGATAGTTCCACTGTAGCCTATATTCCTCCCATGTGATAATCTCACTAATAACATGCAATTTGCTTAAAGTCAATAATAAAGCCTCTTCTTGTGTTTTGTAAACTGTCCCCTTGCTAACAAACTGTTTTCCCTCTGCCCCTCCAGCTGCATCACCTCAAAATCACAGGCACATGTACTGTTAGTTCCAGCTAACCCTCTCCGAGCAATGGCCAACTCCACAGAGCCTGTCTATGCACTCTTCTAGAGAAGTATGTATGCAGCTAGAGCTGCTGACATGGATAACAGATTATTCAAAATAACTGCACTTTCATGGGTTCCATGTAATCAACATGACTGAGAGCCTGGCCCAACTTTCAGGATGTCTTGCTCAGAGAAAGATAGTAGTACCTTTATGTAAGATACTCTTGCTTGATGGACATGGGAATTGGCTTGCAACCATTTTAGTGCACAGGCAAGCTATCCATGGTATAACCAGCGGAAGATCTGGCAGCATATTTTTGAAAAGATGAACATAAAGAGTTGCTTTATATTGGAAATCTAACCAAGCCTTTTTCAGGTTGATTTAGAAGTAGATCACATTTTTACTGCTTCTTGAGTTCCTCAATGGAGAAAGTTTCCTTCACTTCCTGCATTGGTTATACCTTTCTGGGTATATGTCTCTATTGGGGAAATCTTTCCAATAGAGACAGAGACTGCAATATAAAACTAACAGAGGTTCTAACCTTTTTATAATCTAATAAAGGTGTTTTATTGCTGTCTGTTTCCCCACTGGCAAGACATTCCCCCACTTCATGTCTCACCAATATGCAGGCGTTGAGAGAAAACCTCCCCAGTAAGGACCTCAATGACAATTAAAACCTGAGGATAACACTTCCCTATACAATCCAAAGCAACAAAAAAAAGTTTTAACTAGAATTCAGTTTGACTGTATCAGTCAACACCAATTACCTGTACAACTTGGCACACTGGCCTGTTTTTGTCTAAAATGTTTTACTTACTGTCACATGACTTCCTGACTGTAATAATGCCTGAGATGCGCTGTCCATGCCTTCCCTCGGTCTGCACTGCAATCTTCAACTGTCCCTGGCCAAGCCATTGCATCTCTCGGCTGGAGAGGTCTGGCAAAACCTCTGAAAAATCTGGCTCCTGAAAGGGGCATCAAAAGTGGGTAAATAAATAAAAACAATCATTACATTTAGGATAGAAGGTTATAGAACATTTATTAAAAAATAAGCTACTATGTTGGGTTATAGGACTTTACATAAATTAAACATATAGTATAGTTATATGTCTCCTACCTGTGTGGTAATATTGGCGTAGAGCTCCCTTATAACATGATTGTGATGTACAATTTGCACAGTTATTGGAATCCTTTCTGTCGTGAGAAACAAACACCAGTATATTATAAAGCAACTCCTTTACTTTTTACTTTGTTTTTCATCCTCATCATTGAAAAAATACATTTTCTTTTTTGCTGGTCTGCTTAACTATACAATTGCTATACTAAAAGACGTACATTTGGCAGGTTTCCTACTATTTTCCTTCACTGTTTTTCATAAAATGTAGTTCTAACATTGGTTGTAAGTGATCAGTTTGTTCCCCTGTCACATCCAGATTTTCACAGCACAAGCAGATCCTGATACAGCTCAATAACAGACAGTTTTAACTCTTGAATGAAGAATGTTCTATGTCAGACCTGTAGCACTTGAATAATAACATTCTAACAAACTTTCATTGCACCTGTAGGGTATTGTCTGAACAACTGAGTAAATTCCATAGTGCTGTGGAAAGATTATACAGGTGAAACTCGAAAAATTAGAATATCGTGCAAAAGTTAATTTATTTCAGTAATGCAACTTAATAGGTGAAACTAATATATGAGATAGACTCCTTACATGCAAAGCAAGATAGTTCAAGCTGTGATCTGTCATAATTGTGATGATTATGGCTTACAGCTCATGAAAACCCCAAATCCACAATCTCAGAAAATTAGAATATTGTGAAAAGGTGCAATATTCTAGGCTCAAAGTGTCCCACTCTAATCAGCTAATTAAGCCATAACATCTGCAAAGGGTTCCTGAGCCTTTAAATGGTCTCTCAGTCTGGTTCAGTAGGAATCACAATCATGGGAAAGACTGCTGACCTGACAGTTGTGCAGAAAACCATCACTTACACCCTCCATAAGGAGGGAAAGCCTCAAAAGGTAATTGCAAAAGAAATTGGATGTTTCCAAAGTGCTGTATCAAACCACACTAATAGAAAGTTACGTGGAAGGGAAAAGTGTGGAAGAAAAAGGTGCACAAGCAGCTGGGATGACCGCAGCCTGGAGAGGATTGTCAGGAAAAGGCCATTCAAAAGTGTTGGGAACTTTCACAAGGAGTGGACTGAGGCTGCAGTCAGTGCATCAAGAGACACCACACACAGACGGATCCTGGACATGGGCTTCAAATGTCGTATTCCTCTTGTCAAGCCGCTCCTGAACAACAAACAAAGTCAGAAGCGTCTTACCTGGGCAAAAGAAAAACAGATCTAGTCTGTTGCTCAGTAGTCCAAAGTCCTCTTTTCTGATGAGAGCAACTTTTGCATCTCATTTGGAAACCAAGGACCCAGAGTATGAAGGAAGAATGGAGAGACACACTGCAAGATGCTTGAAGTCCAGTGTGAAGTTATCACAGTGTGTGTTGATTTGAGGAGCCATGTCATCTGCTAGTGTTGGTCCACTGTGCTTCATTAAGTCCAGGGTCAACGCAGCCGTCTACCAGGAGATTTTGGAGCACCCAATGCTTCCTTCCGCAGACAAGCTTTATGGGGATGCTGACTTCATTTTCCAGCAGGACTTGGCACCTGCCCACACTGCCAAAAGCACCAAAACCTGGTTCAATGACCATGGGATTACTGTGCTTGATTGACCAGCAAACTCGTCTGACCTAAACTCCATAGAGAATCTACGGGGCATTGCCAAGAGAAAGATGAGAGACATGAGACTGAACAATGCAGAAGAGCTGAAGGCCGCTATTGAAGCATCCTGGTCTTCCATAACACCTCAGCAGTGCCACAGGCTGATAGCTTCCATGCCACGCCGCATTGAGGCAGTAATTTCTGCAAAAGAGGCCAAAGCCAAGTACTGAGTACATATGCATGCTTATACTTTTCAGAGGTTCAATATTGTTCTATGTACAATCCTTGTTTTATTGATTGCATGTAATATTCTAATTTTCGGAGATTGTGGATTTGGGGGTTTTATGAGCTGTAAACCATAATCATCACAATTATGACAAATCACGGCTTGAACTATCTTGCTTTGCATGTAATGAGTCTATCTCGTATATTAGTTTCACCTTTTAAGTTGCATTACTGAAATAAATGAACTTTTGCATAATATTCTAATTTTTCGCATTTCACCTGTAGTTGTAGATGGCTGTTGTTCACAATGCTTTCTACATATCCCCAAAAATTTTACCTCGTTCTCCTCCTTGTAATCCTCTGAGCATAAGGATAAAGTGCAGATTGTCATCTACATCACTAAGTGTCAGCATGGCAAGACCTCGTTCCAATGCTTCCTCTGTGCTTTCCGGTGTTAGAAGGGCACTAAAAGATTCTGTTGTAAATAATGAAAATATTTCCCTTTGAAAATAGGTTTCACTATTAACATATGTTTTCAGTAATTTATAGTTATTTTGCAGACACGCAACCTGAAAATAAAGCTTTGTGGCGGATAATCTTGCCAGAAATTTCAGGCTCGGAAAGTGCTGTGGTCACCAAAGAAACAAGAATGTGTCCCGAACGGAGAAGGTGCAGAGAAGGGCGAGGAACAGACCTCCATATGCCACAGAGCTAGTAAAAAAAGAAGATAAAGAACTTTTTATTATACAGAATTTATATAGCGCCAACAGTTTGTGCAGTGCTTTACCATCTAAACAGAGACACTAAAGTTACAATACAATAAAATACAAGAGGGTTAGGAGGGCCCTGCTTATAAGAGCTTACAATCTAATAGGGTGGGGCAAATGGTACAAAAGGTAATAACTGGGGGATGAGCTGATGGAAAAGGTAAAAGTCCAGTTATTAGTTGGAAGCAAGATAGGCTTCCCTGAAGAGATGATTTTTTTAAAGCTGGCCAGAGTAGGAGATAGCTGGACAGATTGACGTAGAGAGTTCCACTGGATGAGAGAAGATCGAAGATCTGTTGAAGTCCTGGAGGTAAGCATGGTAGGAGGGGACAAGAGAGCTAGAGAGCAGGAGAGCTTGGGAGGGCTGTAGGAACTTGTAAAATGAGGCAACAAGGATGGAAAACACAAAGTGATAGACACTGCAACATTACTTACTGTGTCACTATTCGGGTACCCCACTCTGTGCACAGGATGTTCAAACAACACAGAGCCATCGGGGTCTGTGAAACGAACTCGAGAAAGACCATGTATCCTAATGACAAAAAAATAACACCAAATGAAATATATAAATATAAGAACAGGTAGAGGACAGCATCTACAAATGCAAAAAAACAGGACTAGGACATGCAGCACAGTAATCTGTAGACTGTATAGCAGTACACAATAGCTCAAACTCAACCAATAAGAGCAAAATCAAAGATTGATTAAAAATAAAATCTATAATTTTTTTTTTTTTTTAAGAAAACACCTAAAAAAGAACAAACAATACAAAAATTCAGAAGCAATCCTACCCTTTGTATGTGATGGAGAACAGTAAATTAGAACGCTGCAAATTGAATTTAGCCTTGGCAAGACCACTATTCACTGGGGGCCACACAGGACTGGAAGCAGTCAAAAAGGCAATGTATTCTGTCAAAACAAACATAGACCATGTACATAAACACCACACTGTGCATTTGAACATGTACAAACAAACAGTCACAAGAAAAGATGCAAGTGTACAGAAAATACTTTGCTGGCCAACATTACATGAAGAATGTATCAGAATTTTTTTTCAGATTGTCAAAATTATATTAAATTATATTACCAGTGTCTGAGATTTGAACAAAAAAGGAAATAAAGTGTTAACTGAGCACTGTCAGGATTTGGCACATACCCCTAAGCTTCCCCTCCTTTCTTAATAAGCAAAAGCTGCATTAAAGATGTTTTCAGAAATGCTTTCATAATGTTTTTTTCTCAATGTAGCAAGCTAATGGAAAAATAAAATCTGTTTCTAGTCATTTACACTAAATTTTGTGTTTATACCTGTACGGCTGTCTTCAACACCAACATCATCAGAGCTGACGTAAGAACGGTCATTGTAAAGATCATCATCTTTTTCTTGAAAATATTCAAACTCCTCAAAAATAAATTCTGATTTCTTCGTATGGATGGGTGGAGGAAGAGCTGAATTGAGAAACGAAAAAACAAGTTAAACATGAAAATTTGCAAAAACTTAAACATAACATACGTTTCAAGTCCTATTCACCCTTGTGCGTTATGGCAATGACATATTGTGGGTTTATTTACTAAAGCGGGAGAGTGCAAACTCAGGCTTATTTCTGCATAAAAACCAATTGGCTTCTAACCTCAGTTTGTTCAATTAAGCTTTGGCAATAAAACCTGGAAGCTGATTTGTTTCTATGCAGATGTGAGCCTGATTTTGCACTTTCAAGCTTTAGTACATAAATCCCTATTGTGTGGTAATGCGTGATTTAACACGTTACAAGGAATAGCAAAATGTGAAAAGGGCTTCAGCAGTTTATTATACAGTTGTGTTCAAAATAACAGCAGTCAGACATCACTAACCTGATCAATCACCATTTTTTGGTAGAAATTATATTTCTACATGGCAAATCATTTACTAGCAGGTGTAGTAGAGTAATAGAAATCCAACAGACCCAACAGTCATGACATGCATGCTGCTGATTCTGTGTAATTGAATCACTAATTGAAAGGGGTATGTTCAAAATAATAGCAGTGTGGAGTTCTATTAGTGAGGTCATTCATTCTTTGAAAAACAGGTGGCAATTATTGCCTCTATTTAAGGAAGGAAGGCAGCAAATGTTGTACATGCTGGTTACAGTGCATTTCTCTCTGAAATTCTGAGGAAAATGGGTCGTTCCAGACATTGTTCAGAAGAACAGCGTACCTTGATTAAAAAATTGATTGGAGAGGGGAAAACATATAAAGAAGTGCAGAAAATGATAGGCTGCTCAGCTAAAATGATCGCAAATGCTTTAAAATGGCAACCAAAACCTGAAAGACGTGGAAGAAAGTGAAAAACTGCCATTCGAATGGATAGAAGAATAGCCAAAATGGCAAGGACTCAGCCAACAATAAGTTACCTGCGAGTATTGTTACAATTGGAAAATGCCTATGTGAAGCCAAGCTATCTGCAAGAAGCCCCTGCAAAGTCCCACTGCTGAAAAAAAGACGTGCTGAAGAGGTTACAATTTCCCAAAGAGCACATTGACTGGCCTAAAGAAAAGTGGCGCAATATTTTGTGGACTGATGAAAGTAAGATTGTTCTTTTTGGGTCTAGTGGCCAGAGACAGTTTGTCAAAAGACCCCCAAACACTGAATTCAAGCCACAGTACACTGTGAAGACAGTGAAGCATGGTTGCGCAAGCATCATGATATGGGGATGTTTCTCATACTATGCTGTTGGGCCTATTTATCGCATACCAGGGATCGTGGATCAGTTTGAATACATCAGAATACTTGAAGAGGTCATGCTGCCTTATGCTGAAGAGGTCATGCTGCCTTATGCTGAAGAGGAAATGCCCTTGAAATGGGTGTTCCAACAAGACAACGACCCCAAACACACCAGTAAATGTGCAACATCTTGGTTCCAGACCAACAAGATTGACGTTATGGAGTGGCCAGCCCAATCCCCGGATCTTAATCCAATAGAAAACTTGTGAGGTGACATAAAAAAATGCAGTTTCTGAGGCAAAACCAAGAAATAGAAAAGAACTGTGGAATGTAGTCCAATCATCCTGGGCTGGAATACCTGTTCACAGGTGCCAGAAGTTGGTTGACTCCATGCAACACAGATGTACAGCAGTTCTCAGAAACAGTGCTTATACAACTAAATATTCATTAAGTGATTCAAAGGAAAGCAAAATCTTCAAACATTTTTCAGTTTATATAGTGAATGTTTGAGTTTGTAAAGAAGAGTACAAACACTGCTATTTTTTTTGAACAGTCTAATATTCACTTTTTTTCAATTTTTTAGAGGAACACAAATTTGATATATTTTTCTTCATGTTTTGATTTGGAATAGAATGTGTAGTGTTCCCAATGCATTTGTGTGTATGGAAATATAAAAGCTATTAGAAGGATTTTGAGCTTTATTCACTTTTTTCAACACACTGCTATTATTTTGAACACAACTGTATAAGGCCCTAAGTAGTTTGTGATGTAAAGCTAAAAACTGGCTGAAAATTTGAGTCAAGAGACAGAGTAAAAAGTCATTGATGAATGTTGCAAGGAAATGTGGGGTAGTAGACCATGTTGAAGAAGGGCTAACCAATAATTTAAAAGAATTTAAAAATATCTTACCCTTGGGGCACACTCGGCAGCACTGTCCAGGGATTTCGATAGGATTGGAACAGGTGATTGCAGGACAATGACTCTTGATGCTTTTACAACTGATCTTACCAGATGTTTTTCCCCAATGGCTCCGCTGCTATTAAAAAAAAAGGTAGACATGCCAGAAGTTTTACAGAGGCATTTTTTTCTGCACAATCAAACCACAAATTAAGCTAACAAGTGAAGGAAGATGATTTAAAAAAAAAAAAAATGAGTAATTGACATCCCTGACCTGCATCAGTTATCTGCTGTTTAAAGTGGACCTATTAGTTAATTTGTCTTTAAAGATGTTGGTTCCATGGCTATGTCATCCTAGCCTCAGTTTTTCTCCATAGTAAGTATCTGACCTAGAACAAGCATGCAGGATGAGATCCCAAACTTTTCACACTGCATTGGCTGCAGTTCTGTATATCTCAAGGTATCAAGCCAGGAAGCTGATGGCCGCCTTGAATCCTGCATCTTTAAAAAAAAAAGTCAACTGCCAGATTTCTACTTTTTCAGGCTCACTTTGACCAGGGGTATTAAAGACTACAATGACCAGGAGCATCTTCCTATTGCCTGTCAGTAATTGCCCTCAGACTGAGCCTTGCAATATACAAGACAAAGACTTCCACTTAACATATTACTGCTTACTTCTTCAGTCTTTCCAATTCATTATGCATCTTGTAATTAGCAATCAATCACAACATAGCCAGGATGTTTTCAACTGCTTTCTGAATAGCATTCCCATTTTCTGACTTTTTTCTTTTTTCTTTAAAGGCCACAAGGGCAAGCCATTCAACACATTGTAGAATGCTAAAGAAGTATGGTACAAATCAAAAAATCAATGGCATAAAAACAGTATCCTGTAATAAAGAATTGTGGGAACCTAGCAAACAGTGTTGTGGTGTTTTTGGTACAAAGAAATATATTAATATACAGTAAGCCTAATATTCCTACAGTGTAAAATACAATAATGTGAATTTGTATTTATTTTCAAGCATCTTCAAGTTCTCAATTTTTTTTTATTCCATTTCCATATATATATGATTGATGTCTGAAATTAATGTAGGTTCGTTTACCCCAATTCACACTTTTGTCAGGCCCACAGAGCATTCAAACCTGCATGACATTTAAGAGGAAAGTGATGCTTGAAAAAGGCGAGCAGCTGTTGCTAAAGACTCTGACCAAATTCTGACTTTAGTTAGAATGTCATAGTGGAAGGGAGGGATCACCCCTAAATGTCCCTTATAAATATTATATTTTAGCATAATGTTTACTTTACTATTACTTTATTATTATTACTTTATACTATTACAGGAGATTTTTTTCTGTTCATAATTATCTTTCCTTTCCTAATTCTGAAATTGCAAATGCCAGCTTGTTTTTAAAGTAAATGGATCATAAGAGAAATACAATGGTAGGCATTGCTTTCTTCTGATAATGCCAGTTGTCTGGCTTTTATGTAGGCCCCCTGGTTTCAGTTCTTTAAAACACTGAGCTGCAACAAGTATGCAGATCAGGCAATACAGAGAAAAGAAGGAAGTCATTATCTGCAAACCCGTTTCAGGTCAGTGACTCAAAAGGGTCGATTTACTAAAACTGAATATGGTGCAACTGTGTATAGTAACCAATCAAATTCTAGGTTTTATTGTCAAAGCTTAATTTACAAGCTGAAGTCAGAAGCTGATTGGTTACTATGTACAGCTGCACCAGATTTTCTGTCCACTAGTTTTAGTAAAGCTCCCCCAAAATGTTAAAACATGCCAGACAACTAGCATTTAAGACACAATGGTCAGTACATGCAGCCATATTTCTCTTGTGACCGTTGACTATGAAGTTATGGAGTTAATATCTTTAGTAAATGACTCATAATTTTCTGAAAAACCAGCACTTACCGCCTCACAACGGCATGCCACACAGTAGGCTATTCCAAAGGGTTTTCCCAGATCTGGATGCCATGTGTCCCCCAGGGAGTACACCTTATTCCCAAGGTGACAACCTAAAAAATAGATTTGTATAAGGCAGATGAATGCAGGGAAACACATCTTCAAAACAGAAATTATATGAGAAATCTGGTGAAGGAAAAAATACAGAATTCATAGATTAATGCACAGAACTGATCCCTGAAGAATGTGTGCTTCATCTTCACTCTCATCTGAATTATAGAACACTAAACCTGGAGCACTTCCTTATTGCTCATACAGAGGTATGGATTTTGTAAGGGGAATGTCCTCAGGCACATAACCAGAGAAATAACAAAATTGTGTGACATATACATCCCACAAACAGCTGCTAAGCCCTGCATAACCATTGTGTGCCACAAACAGGATCTCACAGTACAATGTGGCCAGGTAGGGCAAGGTCTAACATGGTAAAACTGAGGCATTCCTAAAAGAAAATTTTGCATACCCTAAATAAAGAATTAAAAAAAAGTTTTTTGAGTATGCTGAACATCTAATTATTACATATACCAGTATCTACAATCTTCCACTGTAAAACCCAAACACTAAATATATACTATGAACGATCACAGGATGGGAAGTCAACTTGCAGAAACACTGTATGACAGATCTATTACTTCTCTCCAGCTGTTGTGGAACAAACTTCAGCAGGTATGCCTGACCAAAGAGTTTCTTGGCACTTGCAGTTCCACACCAGCTGGAAAGTCATAGGGAGTATGCCAAAAAAAACACCGAAACTGCCAACCACAGGGATTAGGCAATGGGAATGCATAGAAATATGGAGCCTAACGTTTCTGAATGTGAAAAAGATGAATAGCTATGGTTCTGCAAGCCTGATGCTACATTTGCTATATTACAGTGTAATAATACAGTTTTTAAGGAAGAAGGAAAAATCTGACACAAAAGTGCAGAACCCTGAATGTCCGAATGAGACATGACTGAATCGTGTTCTGGCAGCTGAAGCGCTCTGTGCAATGGGGCTGAGTTACATAAACATTCTCTCATAACAACTAATAAGCAATTCTCTTCCTATGAGAGCCATTACTGTGACAAAACATTCCCTAAGTCTGCTCAAAAACCGTATTCACTGCAACTACAGCTCTGCTTCTTATGCTCCAAGGCAGTCACAAAGTGAAAAACAGCCTTACTCCACAGGTCAGAGCTCACTAAATGTATGAGGGGCCAAATTTGACACAATCCCTGAACTAGTGTAAAGCCCTTATAGTCAGGGCAAATGCCACTCTCCTGTGCTGTTCATGAATCATGAGTTGATGCCTGTGCTTCTAGAGGTTCTATGACCCCACAATTACCTCCTGGATCCCATCACAGACAAATCGGTGCTACTGTACTCCACCACTGGTAGATTTGTACCTTTGTCTCCATTACTGAGAGATTCATGCTACTGTACCCCAACACAGACAAATCCGTACCCCCCCCACACACACCACTATCAGTTCCATGCTACTGTACTCCACTACAGATTCATTTGTGCTACTGTACTCCATCACAGACAGATCCATGCTACTGTAACCCACCACTGACAGATATGTGCTACTGTACCCCACCACTGAGAGATTTGTGCTACTCTACCCCATCACAGACAGATCTGTGCTACTGAACTCCACCACTGAGAGATTTGTGCTACTCTACCCCATCACAGACAGATCAGTGCTACTGAACCCCACCGCTGAGAGATTTGTGCTACTCTACCCCATCACAGACAGATCAGTGCTACTGAACCCCACCGCTGAGAATTCTGTGCTATTCTACCTCATCATAGTCAGATCCATGCTACTGTACCGCACCACTGAGAGATTTGTGCTACTCAACCCCATCACAGACAGATCTGTGCTACTCTACCCCACCACTGAGAGATTTGTGGCACCCTACCCCATCACAGACAGATCTGTGCTACTCTACCCCACCACTGAGAGATTTGTGGTACCCTACCCCATCACAGACAGATCTGTGCTACTCTACCCCACCACTGAGAGATTTCTGGTACCCTACCCCATCACAGACAGATCTGTGCTACTCTACCCCACCACTGAGAGATTTCTGGTACCCTACCCCATCACAGACAGATCTGTGCTACTCTACCCCACCACTGAGAGATTTCTGGTACCCTACCCCATCACAGACAGATCTGTGCTACTCTACCCCACCACTGAGAGATTTCTGGTACCCTACCCCATCACAGACAGAACTGTGCTACTCTACCCCACCACTGAGAAATTTCTGGTACCCTACCCCATCACAGATATATTCGTGCTACTCTACCCCACCACTGAGCAATCCATTTTTCTTCCACACTCACACAGTTAAACAGTCTACCAACTGAAAAAGAATGAGCAGCCCAGTTTAGGAATCTGAGTGTTGTTGTCACTCACCTATTTGCGACTTTAACGGCAATGGATCCTGTTCAGGTTTGATTGGAAGTAGAACTTTGCGACGTGAGGCATCAACATCTAGAATCCAGAGCATCAGTAAGAGAAATTGGGCACATGTCGCCTTCATTTTTCCAGTTTGTTGGTGGTGTAGGCTGAAGAAATCCTGTACTTTTCCCTTTTCCAATCCTTAGACCTACTAATTCTCTTCTCCACTGCCTAATGTACTAATGTAAATCCTCTTCTCCACTGCCCTGCCACTGAGTCACTTGTGCCTGAGTAGCACTATGTGGCACTTTGCAACTATGCCTGTTCCCCTGTCACTCTTTTCTCTTGCAGCAGGTCAACCTGATCAGAGGGCACAGTTCAATCTGAAATAGGCACAGTTAGCTGATGCTTCCTCTTATAGCTGAGTTGGTCAAAAGCTGGATTTATAGGCACTGTTAGCAAACAAAGCCCCCCCTCCTCACCCCAGCCTTCTCTCCAATCTTGCCAAAGTATATTGCACTCACTCTGGGAGTTGATGAGTCGCTCAGCAGGGTTTCTGCCTGAGGAAAGTGTCTGTTAACAATATTGAATAGCTCAGCAGGGCACAGCAGGGACTCTGGGCTCCCCCCCAACCTGACACACTCAGACATAGCATCCTGACTCAGCCTAGACCCACCCAAAAGAGGGGAGAGGATGAGCAGAGAGGGGAGAGAGAGAGTGATACACTGAGAGCTAGGAAGAGGTGGGGGAAGAGGATGAGTCCAGAAAGAGCCCTACACAAGCACACGCAGTATAAGAGTTAAAGGGAAGCTTATACTAGGGAATGGAGAAATATCAATTAAAAATATGACCCCAAGTAAAATGATATAATAGTTTAATATCTCATCTTATAGTAGCCTCCTAAATTAGCTGAAAACACTACTTTATTGACGTCTCCTAATAAGAGGCACAAAGTTATTTTAACTGATTTTTTTTACATACACACATCACATTCTCTATAGGTATTTTATTGTGCAGGCAATTTCCTAAACAATGTCATTTTACAGTTCTACTCAGCTTAAAAAAATTCAAAATTAGTCGTTTGCACTAAATATAATTCAATGACTAAAGTTAACTATTTACCCCTTTGTAAATGACTTTCTGTGCATGGTAACAAGCATACATCTTGTAATATAAAAGCATAAAAACAAATTATATTCTGTCTATACAATTTATTGTTTTCTTTTTAAACTACTACTTGATTTAGATGTTTTGCAGGCTATGCCATGATCTGCTGCAAAATATTACAGGTCAATGGTCATAAAACCTGCAATAAAACGATTTTTAAATATATATAAATAAAATTATTTTTTTTTCTATCATTACTGTTGTGATTGCATGTAAATTTAAATGTATGGCTCCTTTAACTGTAAAATGCTTGTTGGAATCTCTAGGAATTTTTTATATTGCTTTTAGTATCTTGAAAATCCAAATAAACAGATCACACTTAAAATTACAAACTTAAATTTTTAGGCATACCATACCAAGGCCGACCTAATAAATGTTCATTTATTTATAAAACATAATTTCACAACTAGATATTTAGTTTTACTCATCCCAGTGAATATAATATCTGCATTGCGTCATATAAATAAAGAGAGAGCAAGAACAAAAGAGAGATGGAGAGGAAATTGCAGTAGGTCTAAAGAGGGTGATAAATTGTTTGGTAGAATCTGCAAATGACTTTTATACAGTGGCAAACATATGGAAGTGTTTGCTTAGTGGATTAGTACTATGCTGGTGGCAGACTTGTCTGGAAGTTACTTTTCCTGAAAAGTATGCACTTTCTACTGTCTCTTCTGAGTTCCATTGCATGTGGAGACCAGCTCATTTCTCTTTATAGGTCTAATAGTGCAGTACAGTGCCTCTCTTTATTAACTCCTGCAGTTCTATAATACATATTTTCAGCTACACATGTAACACCCCACACACTTCATGTTCTGTTATGTTCAGTGGACTTTTCCACTGAATAATTTCTGAATTGTTGAACCAAAAGCTAAATTTTTTTTTTTTTTTTTACAAATATCAACCATAGGCCTTATAGAGCCAATCAACACAGAAGCAGTAATTATACATGAGGTCTGGTAGTCTGGATAACCTACCGGCTGCTTATATTTCTATATTTCTTAGGTATATATATATATATATATATATATCTTAGTTGAGTTTTTAATCCTTTATAAATTGGAGGGCAACTGACCATTGGATGTGAGATTCAGGCTGTGGATACCTATTGCTGCTATTGTATTGCTTATTGTTCAGGTCCCCAACCAGAGAAAAAAAAAATTATAAAGACTTCATTAAACAAGTCCAGTTGAGTTTGACTAACTACTACTAGCTATACCAAGATAAATGAAGTACTTTGCGGACACATCCATATAGACAGTATAATAAAACCCAAGATCCTGACATAACATTTACTGTGTGCTCCATATGCATCAATAATAGCAAGGAAATAGTATATAATGCAAAGGCAGCTTAATAAACCTAAATTCTGTCACTGAGGCTGCCTGCAATATTACATATACATGGACCACATTTATACAAATCTGCATACATATAATAATTCTCTATATAATAAAGACATATTTTATTTTTTGCTATTTTTTTTGTACTACAGAGGGGCATATTTCTACAGATTGTCGAAGCCATTTGAAGTGCCAAAATTAAGTGAAAAAGGGTAAAACATGGACATGTGTGCTTAAAAAAATTCAAAATACAGTAAATGGGGGAAAACTTTGCTTTCCCTTCTTCTGCCATACTTTGGCAATGGTTATCTACAAATGTTGTAGTCAAATTTGGCAGAATGCGTTAGTACAAAAAAACAACAGTGAAATGATCATTTATGCTTCAATAGTTGTGTTGTAAAGTTTTACGCGCTGTATTGTTTTAAGTACAATACAATTTGTTGGGGTTTTCCTGTAGTCAGCCTTAAAGTTTAACTAAAGTCAAAACTTTTTTTTTTTTAGTTTTGGACATAGTGGAGATGAATTAGAATACTTGTTAGGTTATGAATGCTACCTCTTCTCCCATTAGGGAGATTCACCCTCTCTATTTGTTCTGTTTACCATTAACATTAAAAGTAAGAGTTAAAGAAAACCCCAAACGTGTTGTCCCCAGACCAGTAATAGAGGGAAATATTCCTATGGGGACAATGGTGCTGGTAACCTGGGGGGGGGGACGACGACCAGGGATTTCCTTAATTTGTGGGATTTCTTCTCACTTTCTGTTTTGGCTATGGGAAAGGAAGTAAATGAAAATTTTCCCAATGGGACAGAGATCTCTCCATAAAAAGGGAAATACTATCTTAGTTGCCAGTGGGGATAAGTGTCCCTATTGAAAGAATTCCCTTCTATTCCTTAAGCTGGCCATTCACTGTTAGTTTTAGGCTGATCAGTTTTAAAAAAAGAATAGATTCCTCCCTTCCACACAAAATAGTGCATGGAGAAATCCTCCCTGCAAGAACATTGTATTCTGACACCATCACCCATGGCTGATTAGCTGCAGCCACTGATTGAGGGAGATTTTCCAGCATGCCCCTTCATCAGAAGTTAATCAGACGGTCGATATCTGTCAAGCCACACCCTGATCTAATTTTGATTAGTATGTTGCTAGCTTTATCCATGAACAACTGAAAATTTTAATTTTAGTGACAATAGTCACCAGGACAAATAAAGAGGGTTAATCTATCCAACAGGAACACAGATAGCAATAAAATCCTTGTCCACAAGAGAATAAAATGTAGGTTACAGATAAAAAAATAGCTATGCAAAGCTACCAAATACTTAATAAGAGAAGTATAATTTTAGCCCTCATGGGAACGGCCATCTTATTAAAATTAAATAAAATAGAGCCATGGGCCATATTAGAAAGCCCCCCATTTTTATAGATTTGTAGTCAAGTGGGAGAGTTGTGTTTAGAAATTAAATAAGTTGTTTCTTGGTAAGAATAACAGATCTAGACTCATAAAAGTAAGTGTCTCAAAAAACACAACTATGCTTCATGTAAGAGGTCCTCAAATAAAAAACAAGACAGTAGTAATTCTTCCCACTCTATTCAAAACAAAAAAATGGCTAATTATTCATTTCTGGTGCGGGCAGGAGTGGACAGGAGTGGACAGGAGGGGTGGCTGCCCTGAGCACTGTGGTATCATGTGAGGTAGGGGGGCACCATGAGGAGATTGGGGGGAGGATATTTGTGTTGAAAGGGGGAAATTGGGGGCGACAGGGGGAAAGAATTGTTCTAGGAGAGGAAATTTTGGGAGTGGTGATTTGAGGGCATTTGTGTTGGGAGGGGGGATGGGGTAAGAGGATCTGTGCTAGGAGGGAGGATTTGGGGAATTCGTACTAGAAAAGTTAATAGGGTAGGGGGGGGAGGAGATTTGTGCTAGGAGGGGACTTTTTTTGGAAGGGGGGACTGCACTAGGATTGGGGATTGGGGGAGGGGAATTTGTGCTGGGAAGGGGGGATTTAGAGTAGGGGGAAGAGAATGTGTGCTTGTAGGGAACATTTGAGAATTTGAGGGGTAGAGGATTTGTGCTAGGATGGGGAATTTTTTTTTTCGGGGGGGGATTTGTGATGGGGGTATATGGGAAGAGAGATAATTTGAGCTAGGGGGAAGAGGGACAAAGATTTATTTTGGAGGAGGGGGGATTTCAGCAGTGGATCAGATTTGAACTGGGATGAAGGGGAATTTATGCTTAGTAGGTAAGAATGCAGATTAGTGCTCAATTTCTTTTTTTGGGGGGAGGGAATTTTTTCTGACACATAATGCTCATACATCCTGGGGGGGGTGCAATTTGGCATGTTCACCCTGGGCTCTAGATGACCTGTCCCAGCACTAGGTGGGGGTTTTATCACTGTGTAGGCCACGTGATATTGGTCAGAAGGGGAAGGGAGGCAGGTGGGTGCTCTACTGAATTTTACAGATAAACTGCAGATGGGGGAATCTCTGTTTTCCGACTACGAACCTTCAGGCCAAGTGGAGATGCTACATATTATGAAGAAAGAAAGGAAAGATGGGAAAGGTGAAGATATGAAGAGGGAAGGGTAATGAGAGAAAAGAGAAAGA